GCAGAGAATGAAAAACAGTGATGTTATATAAATGTAACGCAATATAAAGTCGTAGATAGTAAGTACCTAGTGCTTCAATTATGTACTAAGAGAGTCCATTAGCATCATTCATGTTTTACGGTTGTTCAGCGCCGCCGTGAAGGCTTTGATGTGCGAATGTCACGTTACGGATGATAGCTACTTCTACTGACAATATACTCACATTATTTGCATTTATTTCGGAAAGGTACTTATATTTTTTCATATAAATTCGGGTTTAATGAGCTTCGCCACTCAAATATGTATGTTTAATCTTGTAGACTGTACCTATGTACCATGCAATAATCTTCAGATTTTCTACTAAATTGTATTAAAAATGCCATGTCAAAATCAGCTATTTTATTAGCAGTTAGCTGTTTAAATAGCATAGCATTACAAAGTCAAAGTCAAAGCATTTATTTCAATTAAACCATAATTTAGTACCTTTGAAACGTCAACAAATACAAAATAAATAATAATCTGTCGGTCAGTCTGTCAGTGTAGCTAGGTGAAGCTAGGTGCTCACTCCAAAATGTAGATTCGAATGGAGAAGAACGAGCAAGATACTTCATTCGTTACTCTTTTTAAAAAAAGTGTCTTTTACAATGTCTCTGATACATACACATCAATTTGCAACATCCTGGACCTGGTTGCATTATTTTTTTCATAAAATTACGATAATCTATTACAGATAAATATCCTTGTCTTCAGCTCCAGAATCAATAGCATCCAAGCGACTTCTTTAAATTATCCCAAGCTACTCTGGGGTCAACAGATATACTCTAATTTTCATTATCCCTATCATCTAATTACCGTAACCTAACCAATTTCTCGTTTGTCCTCAGCAATGAACATTTCAATGCATTTGGCGGTAGCTGTGGCGGCGGCGGCCTGTCTGTGCGTGTGCGCAGCGGCACCTGAGAATCGACTCGCGCGCACCAAACAACAACGCCCCACCCGCGGCTTCAAGAACGTCGAGATGATGACCGCCAGGGGATTCGGCAAGCGAGACAGGCCACACACTCGGGCTGAGCGTAAGTTATTTATTTTTCTATAATTGTATATACATTTTAATATTGGCAAAGTCGTGTCTAGACTGTAGTAGTACCAATAGTCTACTCCTAGTAACCTTTGAAAAACCAATTAGCATTTTTCTGTACATAAATAGACAAGGACATAATAAGTCTGTCAGTTAGACAAGGAAAAATTATTAGACACATTTTTTTATTTTGTCGTATAAGAAAACAATACTTAAATAAAACGGAGTTAAGTTCAGGAGTCGTTACGCCACGCTACCCTATAAAATGTAGTAAATCGTGACGTCACACGATATTTCAAATCAATATATCGTCGAAAGTATTTAATTTTGTAAGAAAAAAAAGCGTGTCTAATGTTTAAAATCGTGTACGGTTATTGTTTGTAAATATTGTGAATAACCTATTTTAATTACAGGTTTTGTATATAAACTATGTAGATATTGAGAGTGTACCTAGATATAAATAAACAAAGAGAACAATTCTTTTAAATCTTTCTAAGAATAACCAATAATTTTAGTTATTTCACTTAGAGTCTAGTAAATACATAAATAGGTACTCACTAAAATATATACTTACGATTCCTAAGCCGTGATATCATTTATTTTCTATAGCAATAAGTACTGTTGAACAACGGGCAAGCAATTGACATTAATGTCGTGTTCACATAATTCTAACTTACTAACTTATTGTAGGTTATTTTTGGAGAACAACTATAATAACTTTGTGATACACAGAATAATTTAGAAACTGATAAAAATAACTTTGGATGTTGTCAAACTTTTACTAGGACAACATATCCATCAGAAGACGCTGTATAGGTACTATGAGATCTTGTTGAATTTTATGAAATAATTACTAACATTTTGTAGAACTCTCATACATCACTCATGTATGTGAGTTGTACACAATAGAGACGCATCCATCTTCCCACCCTTCCAACTATAACTTGCTCCCGCTGGTCGCTAATGGAGCGCATAATTCTTACAGAATAACAAATTAGGGATACATGGCCTTGCCTTCATATAATATTAGCCTCAATTGAACTTCAAATAACCCAACAATCATACGAGTTTCCATAACTTTTTACCTTTATTGTTCAATGGAATGTTCCACTACCAATCTTCTATCAAAATGTTTGCGATTACCATAATCTTTTGACAATAAATATGCCATTCAATTTCACAATACATGTTGTTATTATTTGTTGTTGGAGGGATAAAGTTTACATCGAACGCGAAGGTAGATTGCGGGCGCGCTGGGGCAGCGGGACGCACGCCGGTAGACCTTTTTCAGGGTGTAACAGTAACCGTAATGAAGCTAAGAATAGTACCATTGTGTCTGAAGGGGACGTAGAGCATCAAGCGCCGACGACCCGCTCGCACCGCGGCACGCCCACCTTTAAGAGTCCCACTGTTGGGATCGCAAGAGATTTCGGTAAAAGAGCTCCGGAATTGGACGCAGAAGGTACCAAAGAAGCCTGATTGAATTTCCGGCCTCGTATCACTGTGAATGGCAAAAATTACGAAGCCAATACAGTCTCGGACCGTGTAACTGACTTAAGCACAGTCCAAACGTGTTAGGAAATAAAAACTGAAATCCATTTGTTAATGGTCCGCGCAGCCTCTGGACTGGCCCTTTTCGAAGCTGAAGCTTTGCAGGTGTTTGTGAGAGGATAGAAACCTCATTACTTATCGCTCGATACTGTGTACCTACTGTAGGTTCCTGCGAAGGTTTCATAACTCCTTTACTCGGAGAGAAGTCACGAATAGTATTTTGCATGGGATTGCAACTCAAATAAAGTGCATTTTCAATGAAAACAAAGTGCGATCGGCACATAATAACGAATTTTTCGCAATCTCTCTGAATAAAGGGGTAAAAGTTTTCAACTTTGGATGAATGTTTTAACAGAAAGAATTTAAATTCGTGTTAAAACACAAAGTTGAACACTTTCAATGGTTCTCTGTGACGGGAGGATGTTATCTGTTGAGCTTGAATCGTCCGAACAAAAGGAATACTCGTGTTGCGCCATGTCGACTGGTGTTAGACACTTGTGTTTTATTTGCTTTAAACTGTTGTACTGTTCATACACATACTCTTCTCTACTATTAACATACCGAACATTGTCTCACTTCAAATAATACATCAACAGACCAGGACAGCTATGACTCCCACGCTCGCAGGAAGTTTAACCCCAAGAGCAACCTCATGGTCGCCTACGACTTTGGCAAAAGGAGTGGTAATGATGACGTTACTGATGAAGGTAAACACACGATGAAACTATCACATGCAACGCTACAAAAGCTTCACAAGCTTAAAACCTTAAAAGAAGAATATAATAATTACATTTAATATACAAATATATGACATTTTAAACAAAATAAGACGCTTGCAGTAAATTAAAAGATAACGCTTCATAATATATCGCTTTTTAACGGTGATCTGAAATAATTTACCGCCATGACTTGGCATTTCAACAGAGGAAGAAATTAGAGTGACCAGGGGAACTTTTAGACCCAACTCAAACGTACTTATCGCCAGGGGTTACGGGAAAAGGGCCCCTTTGCCAAAGAACGATCGAGGTATTAGTCGAGATAATCTCAGATCCAATATTAAAGAAATCACACACTACTGGTGACTTTTGGGTGTCGTCCATCGAAAACCGGCTATAAGCCGCGAAAATGTTATTTATACGACAAATATTCGTATCGACCGAATTAAAGCCTCAGGGGACGGGCCAGACGGCGTATTGGGCCAACATAAACATGCCATACTCGCTTATTAAAACATGCAAACTTTGACACGTGATAACATCTATCAATACCAACAACATCGATACATTGAGGCTTCTGTTCGCTTTATTTGGATCGTCTAGGTTCCGTTGTATCTTGTGAATTTGTCAGCGCAAAAATACGGCATTGTTACGGATAACAAGTTCGGGATTTTTTATTCTATTTTTTCGTATGTCATCCGTGGGTAAATTTGTGGGTGAATGGGATGTGTTCTTTATTCATGATGTCTGCCAATGCTGTATTTATGTGCGTGTGTAGTGCTGATAGGGACACGAGTGGGCTATTGACTCCTGTCGTATTCTGGAGAGATCTCATTTGAGGAGATTTACTCTCTCGGCTTAATATTTGTCAGCTTTTATTGTACTGGAACTGAGGGTATTAATGTGGCTTATTACGTCGTGTGAATGTGTTATTGTGTGGCGTGTATAGAGAGCAACAGGTACTCTCTACATAATACATGAGATAATTACTGGACACTATTGCTAATGACACTTATGTGCTGAATTATCGTTTATAAGAGATATTATTGTATTGCAAGTGGAGTAAGCTGATATATTGTCGGCAATCGAACGAAATGATTACTAATTTCGATTGTTTCGCTTGTAAGTGTGAGTATTGAGTAATGTGACTAGAATATTTTGTTCGCAATGTTAATATTGTTATTGTTTGCAGCAGTGTACGGTTTGGACAACTTCTGGGAGATGCTGGAGGCTACACCTGAGAGGGAAGGACAAGAGAATGACGAGAAGACTTTGGAAAGGTAAACTTCTATTAATAGTAGAAATTGTACCACAATTTTGAACAAAGCTTTAACAGAAGTAGTGTATTAAAGATTGTGGTGGCTACCTACACATTTTTTTTACAAATTATTATTAATACTTAGTATAGTTACACATATTATTTTGACATGTAGGTAATATAATATCGATGTAATTTTCTACACCTAAATTGAACATATTATTCCTCAAATTGAGTGGTCGCTTGGGGTCTGTTAAACGAATATTTATTTTGCTGCGTAAACGAACAAATTGGTAACACTAACAAGAGCTCATTACCCACCGAAGTAAATTGTATGAAATATTAGTTGATAACACGTAGTAGACACGTGCTGACTAGACAATCTAGATAAAAATATTGTATGCTAGCTGTTGCCCGCGACTTCGTACGCGTGGAATAGTGATTCACAGCTCCTCCCCCTTAGATGATAGCGTGATAATAGGTACCCTATATGTTGACCTGGGGGCTTACTCTTGAATCTAATTCCGATCGATCGACATTGGTATTGTGAAATTTCGTACTCTCGAGATGCAACACTAGCATTGCATCCGTATTGCGTGGATATTGAATGAACTAAATGGTATTGAGTTTGGCTTTATATTCCGTACTCTGATTGCTATTTTAACAGTTACGATAAGGGTTGTATAGTTTTGACATTGAATAATTATTGTGATTTTATTGGATTGAAATTGCATTGACATTGAGATTGGTTTCAAGAGTAAGCGCTCTGACCTGTTAGTCATGCAAAATTTGAAGTAAATCAATGCGGTACTCTTGGAGATCATCCCGGACATACATAGAGACAAACAGACAAACAGACAAAAATTCTTAAAACCATATTTTTGGCTTCGGTATCGATTGCACATTACGCCTAAAGTATTCTTTTAAAAAAATATTCAATGTACAGTTTTGACTTTTCTACGATTTTATTATATGTATAGATATATAGATGTATATTATAAGCTATACTAACTTAAGTAATAAATTACACAAGATTTCTTCTTCTTTGGATGGTTTGATTAGAAGAGGATAAAATTATTAACTATGTTATGTATTTTATGCTATAAAAAAGTCGCTTTGGTTAGGTATTATTTATATCTCAAGAACAGCCAAATCGATTTGGGTGACATTGGTGGGAGTAAGCTTTGGTAGCTTAGAACCAGGAGACGGACAAAGGATATATTTATGCAACAACATTTTTATACTTTTTATTGAAAATCACGAACGAGAACAGGAAAAAGCGGTATGCGCGTACGAAACCGCGGGTAAAAGTTAGTAATTGATATAACTATGTTTATCAGTAAACATCACATGTGGCTAACGAGATAATGAATCAAACAGCAGCTATTAAATTAATTAACAAGAAAATAAAACGCATTTTATATAAGGAACCTTAATTTTTCGTATCATTTCTACAACAAAAAAAATGCCATTCGCTCACTCGAAATTCAAATAAAGACCGAATGGAAAGCAGCAAAGAGAATAAAACGAATGAATGAAAATAGAACTCGAAGAATATTGGGTTCTATTTATATTAAAACAAAAGTGGTTTCGTATTAACACCGTGTCGTGTGAGAGAATATGTAGGCAATATGTGGAGGGGTAGAAATTGGAATCTAGGATCGAGTTGCTATTACGACTTTCACTCAGGTGGGTATAAGCACCACTAGACTAGTTACCTACGTCTGTAAAAGAAATTTCTAAAAGGTTTTTTACTAAAAACCGAATACTCCTACACAATGGTAATGTGATTTTTTCAATTTCAAGTTTATCTTGAAAAGAAAGAACTAGATTTGTAATAAAATATGAATCTGTCGCCATTTTGCCTTGAGCGTGGTGACCAATGCTCATTACTTTCTTTTTGCTTAGCTCAGCAGTAGGATAGTTGTAGGATTTATAGTATAAAAAATAGGATATTACTACAAGACCTTTGGTAAGTCATTTTAACTGCAGTCTTAACAAGTTTGTTTGGCAATATATTTATGGACACTATGTCCTGAAAAGAAAATTCTCAAATTAAAAATGTCTACTTTTGTATGCATATAACTTTCTTGTGTACAATAACAATAATAATTTTATACTATAACACGTTAACTCGTAAATAACAGACTCACGTGACGATAGAACACAACAAAACAACTGATCTAAATTAAGCATCCATTTAAATATTAGTATCCATCTAAATTCGAACTATAATCAAACAATTGAAAGTCTAATTTCATATGGCACTAACGTGTAATTTACATATAATGAAACCATATCAATCCGGAATTTATTACCGATTGCAATAGCGATTAATTTGTATCGATAACCAATTATGAAACTACGAAATTAGCATTAGTGTATCGAAATTAATTTCTATCGATATGAATTGCTTTGTTTCACTACAGAGGTAATTAATTTGTGCTATATCCATTCATAACTGAGGATTAGAATTTCGTCTAGGTTGTGGGATTAAGTCATATGTGGACTGAATAGGTCTAGTTGTTGTAAACATGGTCGATGAATTCAAGTTTTTTTATGGCATAAGCCGGTAAATGAGCTCACGGATAACCTCATGATAAGCAATCGGCGCTTCCCAAGGACACAAACACTAGAGGCATTACAAATGCGTTACCGGTCTTTTGGGGATTAGTAACTTGAGGATTGTTGGGTATTCAGAGATTGGAGAGATTGGGGAGGGAAGTATTTGGGCCTCCGGTAACCTCAATCACACGACAAAATACAACGCAAGCGTTGTTTCACGTCGGTTCTCTGTGAGGCCGTGGTATTACTCTGGTTCGAGCCGGCCCATTCGTGCCGAAGCATTGGTTTTTCCCACTTACCTATGAAAGTAATTCTCAAAATTCGAAGTTATAGTCTTGGTCTTTTAAGAGTTACAATTGTGTTCGACATCACAGAATGTATGTCAATTCATTTGACAAAATTGTATATTTTAGTCTACTAAATACTTCTGACTGACTCTTAGAATAAATTTAGACTGCACCCTTGGTGCGATGGCTAGACAACTGGCTACCGCGCAACGTGCAGCGGGTTCGATTCCCGCAAGGAACAACTGTTTGTGTGATATGCAAATTGTGTATTTGATGTTTCGGGTTTGGGTATCATGTGTATGTGAACTTGTATGTATGTAAACGCACCCATGACACAGGAGAAAATTATAGTGTGGGGCAACGTTACTGAAAAATGAAATAATTATTTTAAGCTACGTTAAATTAAACTTTGTCTTTCTATAATTCTAAAATTACAAAGCTTCTATTATCTATAAACAATTGAGAGAAACACTCTCCCTTCTCCCTACTCAAAGCTCGTCCCATAGATAAGGCTTGGCATTTAGCAAATCCAATTCGATAGGCAAAGGTTCTATTTGTTTTTTAAAACTGCAGCTATAGCCTACGAGAATAATGAAAATCAACCGAATTGCTATCAGAATAAAGTACATTATAAAAAATCATCACAAATGTTCACATTTTGTTAGTTACCATTAATATAACATAAAAAAAGAAAATTACATTATAATGATGACATGTACAATCATGATATATGGATGATAATGTCATTATTTTAATAGTACCGTGTAAAGTAAAACATTCAAATGAAGTTGTTTTTCTGACATCATATTTTAATTCAATTACTTCCGTTTCCATATTGACTATTTATATAAAGTATATTTATATTTATTATATAGAATCGTTCATCAAATAATATGACCCCTCCAATATTACTCTTCGCTAAAACTAAATAAGTATTGTAATGTAAAAACACAATCAAAAGACTATGTACTGGGGCTACGCCGTAGCAGCTACATGCTACGCCTCGTAGGCCGCTACACAAAGCGTAGTAATGGTACCGTTACGGGCTTCTAGTGTAAAATACTTTTCTGAATTGGTTTAACTATAATTTAATATATTATATTATAAAAGAGCAACTGGCTGTCGAGTCAAATCAAACCTGCGACATGTTGCGCGAACATGTCGCGGGTTCATCTGTCACTACTAATTCTTTGTGAAATGACAGAGATGGCACGATATTTAAGCACGACTTAAAATTTAGTAAAGTTTCAGTATTCCGGCATGAGTGTCATGTGTATGTGATCTTGTACGTTTTGCAACGCACGTTTTTTAAGAAAAATATGTCTTATTTCATTTATAAGTCACAATTGCTAACTTAAAGAAAGAAGTCAGATTTTTATTCAAACGACCAAATTCCTAGTTCCATTTATTCTAATCCTAAATAAAATATGTCATACTACCACAATATGTCTAAAATCTTCGTACAAGAGAATATTAAGTTAAATTACGCCTCAATGATTATAAATTGTGTTCGTACATTACTGAGTTATGATCAAAAAGCTATTTCAACATAGCCTACTAATTTTCCGCTTGCACAGATAAAAAACGTATTTTTTATTCGTGTATCATAGCCTTTTTAAATGCTATAAGTATAAGTAATTACTTCAAGTGGAGGGAACCATGTCATTTGTTGATGAAAAAAATATGTTTTTCGGTAGAGTATATGTGATTGAATACTGGTGGTTATTGTAGTATGTTAGGATACACTTATTTTTATTGCAGTCGACAATAGTGGGGATAAATATAGAAACTTGTTTTCTTTTACTTACTTTACTTACAAAAAATGATATAAGAAAGTGATCTCCCGATATTATATTTATTATGATCAATCTAAAATTACGATATTATTGTTATTACTTTTAGATATATTTTCCAGTTTGGTTATCGATTTTCGGGGATGAAAATATTTATTGTTATAAAAACTGATTGTGAGTGAATGCCTTTAGTATACCCGACCCAGGAATAGAACCCGAGACCCCTTGCCCGGGAGTCGCACTTGGGAACACTCGGCCAAAGAGACAGAGAGCATTAAGTACCGTAATGTTCACCTCTGCCTACCCCTTCGAGGATAAAAGGCGTGATGTTATGTTATGTCACATCTTAATGGGTATCTTATATAATATTACTCTCTAAAGCTAATAATAATTATGATAGTAATTAAACATAGTTTTCTCTTCCTACAGCATTCCTTTGGACTGGTTTGTGAACGAGATGCTGAATAATCCAGATTTCGCGCGATCTGTGGTCCGCAAGTTCATTGACCTCAATCAGGTAATTATTTGGATACTTTTGAAACATTCAAACAGCACTTACATTGTTCCAAGTTATTATTAAAACTATTTCAGTCTCTTAACAATGTGAGATACTATAACTTAGGAACGTTAATAGTACTTTGGTCAGTGGTAACTTTGAAATCAATACGGAGCTCAAGTCTAATTTATTGGTAAGATGACTCAAATATGAAATTATACTCGGATGTAATAATCAACCAAAATATTTGGTATGCAAATAAGAAAATTAAAATTGATTCAGTACACATTGGATGAATTTTAAGCCAACCTTTATTAAATTACCGATTTACCTTCGTTAAAAGCATATAATTTGGTATAACAATATCTTCTGTTTCTGTATTGGATCAATTTTTATATCCTTACTTGCATACTAATTGACTTGACTGATTGTGTGCAACAGAGAAGACCAAGAAAAAAATCAAAATGTGCCTTAACAATATCAATTTAAAATCTACTTTTGTATACAAATGACTTATAATTCTGTGGGTTTTGGTAGGAAGTGTAACACATTTAAAATACTCGAGGAAATTACGTTTATGAAGAAGAATATATCATGACGTGAGCATTATATAATGTAATAAATTGCCTCCATGTCAGATATGAATGAAGTTAATATTTGAATGGGAATCTCTATTATGTGTGAGCTTTGGATCTAATTAAAAAGGAAAAGGGTTGCCTGCGGTATTTCTGGGCTTATTTTTTATGAAGCTACCTTTGGATTGCCCCACAATGTACTTTAGTGTAATGTATTATGGCTTCTGTTAAGTTAAAATGGTCGAAAGGAAAAAACATTTCGAATTATTCTCTGTGAGGCAAATTCATGTAGTTAGCTCTGTTTTGCATATAATTATGCATATTTATTAAATGACAGCTTTTTCAATTTGCTTAAGTCTGATTTTTGGGGTAATAGATAATTTTTAACAGTAAAATAAAAATGATATTTGACAGTTTTTATTATGGAATAATTATTAAACATTCAAAATTATTCCTCCGATAAAATGTATTTGGCGATGGTATTAGTACATTTGGCCCTTAGAGTAGCAATTTAGTAAGAGCTGGTGCAGATACGGAGCCGCGGAGGACTTAACGGGTTACTGGGGCTTCGGCTCGAAGTGCAGAAGTAGGAACGGGGTGGTTTTTAGTCAATAACAGTCTGACATTCCCTCTCGCCTCCTCAGGCGGGAGAAGTCATTGGATGATAGTCAATAAAGGCGTTACTTTATCACGTTCATACTTTATATAACGATCTACAATCGATGACGATTTACATACAATGATGCAGGTTGATACTTTTAAGATACTTCTAACCTAGTTTCTAAAGTTTATTTAACTTTACACAACAAGAAAAAAACCTTTTTTGAAATTAAACATTTTCTTCATCCGCCAACTACCATCACATTAATTGCCAACAAAACTTAAGTAATTCAAGTCATTAAACACAACTTAGTAGGTAAGGTGAAATTATTATGCACAGCGATGTTCATGAAGTAGATAGGTACATAAGCCTGTGCAAAGCGGCTTACTGGCTTGTTTCAAGTAACCTGTGTATTTAGTGCTCTCCTATATGCCTAAATTCCTAGGACAGGCGACAGGGCTATGTAAATGAGTGGAACTCAGTTAGTGGTTCGAGCACATTGGGCGATTCTGCTCGAACTTTACGCTTGAACTTCGATATTGAACTGAGAAGTGTGCAACCTCTATTAGTTTGTTCGTGAAATGGTGTTTTGTATACAGTATGGGTGTAGGTGTAGGTGTAAACTGAAGCTTAGAAGTTACTTGTAAACTGATTTGATACTCATTTTGTCGTGTATCTTGTTGATTGGTGTCTATAGGTTTTTAATTATTCATCAGTTTCATTTGAAATAGACAATTATTCTTTAATATATAACATATTAATTCTAATACTTTATGATCTTAATTAATCAACTTCAAAAAGAAAAATGGAGATTCGTAATTTAATCGATTGTTTGATTTAAGTATATTTATCAACCGAATTAAAAAAAGAGGGGGTTCAAGTCACTTGTTTTAAACATAGTTTGTAAAAAAAAATAAATTTACAATAGTATCGAGTTAGGTCTGATTAAAATTTTGATTCATTTTTACTTTTGATTAAAGGTTTTATTAGGTACAGGTAGGGATCAATTTTCGGAATTTAATGATTACATTTTACTGTATAATCAAGTTAATATAAAAGTTATCGGCTCTCGCAAACAATAAAAGAGTAGGTACTAGAAACTTTCCGATTCGCCATTTTGAATTTTATATTTAAGGTAGGTACCTACCCTTATAAAATGTTTTAATTATTTTGATTAGAAACCTGGGTGAACAAATTTCGTTAAGAAATCCGTCGATTTCGACACAAGTTAAAGTTTTACTTAGGGTGTAACTTAACCGTAGTTGCGCAAACTTTTAGGCTCTGTGTTTCATAGTTAGTTGAAACTAACGAAAAAAATTATGTAAGTAGTCGACTGTTAGTTGATTTTACGTTTAACTGCGCATTAGAATTTTCACACAAATGTAGTTTGGGGATAGTTAACGTGATTAATAAAAACAGGTTCATTTATTACACTTTACAATCCTTCAAATTATAATTAAATATATATGTATAGATGCGTAAGTTTGTGTGTTTGTTACTGTTGTATATATGTTTTGTGTTGTTCGTGTGTTTGTGTTGTCCTTCACGTCGAAACGGCTGAAGGGATCGAAATGAAATTCGAAATCGTGGTAGATTATGGTCTATAACAACACACAGGCTAGTTTTTATTTCACGAGAGCGGCGGGCGAAACCGTTGGCAGAAGCTAATACAACAATAATTTAGTCTTCCTTCCTTCCCTTTTACCCTTATTCCAAATACAGGGCATTTTTTTATGGGATCAGTCGATAAACAAGCAGACGGATCACCTGATGGTAAGCAATCGACGTCGCGTTTGGCCACCTGGAACCACAGAGGTGTGAGAGAGAAATGTTGAAGATTCAGGGTTGGGAATATTGAGGAACAGGGGAGGGGGATCTGCTAAACTCACTCACAAAACGAAATACAACGCAAGCGTTGTTTCACGTCGGTTTTCTCTGAGGCCGTGGTATCTCTCCGGTCGAGCCGGCCCATTCGTACCGAGGCGTGGCTCTCCGACACTTTTTTCGTTCCCCGTTTGTCAGCGGATCTATATTATTCTTATATATATACACAGTCGACCACTATGTTAATATTTTAAAGTGAAACTGGTAATAACAATAGTCTTTGTTCGCAGGACGGCATGCTATCATCGGAGGAGCTGTTAAGGAACGTCGTTTAAATACACATTTAGTTAATTACTATTACATGAGAACCCTATCATTTGATCTGTAACTGCATGCAAAGTAAATATATGAATATATATCATTACAAATACTTGTATAGTCTATTTATCGTTCAGTTTACAGGACTTGTAACGTTACTGTGATATCATATTATTATCTTCGCATCCAAAAAATATAAAAAAAATCAACCTCAGTTCTATTAAAAGATAATTTTAAGAGCGGTATTGTTGTTCGGAATTTACGATTGTTGTAAATAATTTAAAGTATAATGTCGATGGCATAAGAATTATCTGTCCATAGCGATACTCTTTATATCTAAAAATGTAGATTAATATTCGTTGTTGTAACTGAAATATTTTCCTTTCTATGTGTGCCACTTTCAAAATTTATGACGTCATACCTACTTGCTTAGGTATCTACGAGCGCACTTCCAAATTTCCATTTAGTACAAACGCCCTCACTCGTCGGTGTCAGGTACAATCGACGAATTATCCTCTGCACTAAATGAGATTTGGAGGTTTGCAGTCAGACACAATTATAACAGCAATGTTCTAAGATCAAAGTAAATTAAGAGGTACAAGACTAAAATGTATTTTAATGTTAGACATTATTTAAAGTTTCAGTAAACATGTTTCAATATCGTCTCGTTTTAATGTGATTTTTAATTTATGTAAGGGGAAAGGCAAATATAACGATCTATTAATGTATGTTCTACGATTATATCTAGGCTGGGTCATACAGTATCCTATTCATGTCAATTTCATAGTTGAAATTATAAGAGTTAGTGAATTCTGTCGTTTAACACTCACTCTACATACATACATGTAATTTATACTGTAATGGATATAATAAAAATATTTTTAGGGGGTAAAATATTCGAAAAATGGATGTTTGGATACCCATTATTTGATTAGTTCGTTGTTAATTACCACTGTCGACGTTATGGATAAATAAATATATCGGGTATCGATCTTGTGCCTTTTATTTCTTATTTCCCACTTAAATATAATGACTTAATATCTGAATGACTGAGCTATAAAAAAAGGAAAAAATATAGAAAAAGAATACCTAGAACGATGTGGGGAAGGTGGATACGGCTCCATGCCGAAATTTAATTCATGTAACCTACTAACACTAGAATTTAAGTTAAAATTGTTACTAACCCTAATTATGGACTCCGGTCTGAAATAAAAGTTTTCTATTCTATTCTATTCTAGAACAAAATAAAATAAATGTAATAGAACAAAACATAAAAAATAAAAGAAACATTCGGGCCGAGGGTTGAACACGAGTGTGCTGCCGTGGAAGGCACCCAATTTCCCGACTAAACTATCAAAACGTTATACGTCACGGCAAAATTTAGCATCCTATTCTAATAAGGATTTTTATTCAATGAAAATACAGATAAAACTAAATTTTTTACAAAAGATACCTTGCCAGATCGATTTATCGGCCCCGAAACCCTCTGCATACAATATTTTAATAAAATCGATGGAGGCCGTTTCTGAGATCGTTGATGATATACATAGCTGTATATTATAACAAGAACTGCTCATTTAAAGAGAAAATGTTTAGTCTTATCAGATAGAGATATAGGCCATACGATTTCTTCTGAGATCATTCTTTAGATAATTTAAGACTTCTTATCTATCTTCCATAGTTTTCATATTAGTAGTAAAAGCAATTTGAAGTTTAAATTAAATATATAATGGTATAACAATGACACAAATCGTTTTTAAAATTAGATTACATATTATGCTAATACCTACCTAACTATGTAGTTAGGTAAAAATGTTTTTATAACACGGTACAATGCACGCATAATACATCTCAAAAATATATCATAGACGTAGCTAAAACTTTTATTAGGTTAACCATTATATTTTTATGTAGGTACTTAGGTAGTGGATGGTAAAAAAATAATTTCATTCACGGTTCGACAAACATTTATACGTGAGATAAATTTAATATATTAATATTTTACATGCTACTACGTGACAATTTCGTTCCCATTTTGATGTGATATAAAAATATAAAAAACGTAATTCGTATTAATTTTTTCGTGTTGGGTTACAAAAACGTAGTGTTTGTTACGAGTAATTTTATAACAAAACCTTAACGTAATATTATTTACTGTTGTGTATGAAAAATATAACTACTAATGAAGTAAGTTAGGTAATGAAAAAATATTAGACACGTATTTTTTTATTTTGTTGTATAATAAAACAATACTCAGATATAACAAATCAAAGTTTAGGAGTGGGGGCTAAAACGTCATTTGTACGTATAAAATGTACATAGAATCACTTCTATGTTGTATATCTATCGACACTTCAAATCAATATATCGTCGAAAGTATTCGTTTCTATAATAAAATAGGAAATACGTATCTAATGGTTTAAAATAATCTACCAGACAGACATTTAAATTAGGCATCTACCCTATTGTGGATAGAATAGGAAATTGCTTGTTAAAATCATAATTTACTATAGTTTTTCGTTCGACGTTATCAATCGTCAACAGCACTGCTAAATAATAGACTAAACACAAGGACTGGATACAAGGGTGAGCCACTGTCTCCCGACATGATATGATTGAAAAACGCAGTTCAAAAGTTTCAGGTTTATCAGAAATCATATAGCGTTGCTGTCTTGTCTTTGTTGAAGGTATATTCACTTAGGGATAATTTTCAATACTCGGTTAAAGCCTCAGTTACCTTTTAGTTAATTTTAACAAAGGAACGACCAATTTTTCTTTGGTCAGTTACCAAGCAAAATCACCACTGTTCTAACCTAAAAATTCAGGATTGTCATGACGTCAAATAAACAGTCAGATAGCGACTATCTGAAGCTTGAACAGACAGTATGATACTCACTACACTTGACTGCCTCGTTGACCGAGCGGTCGCAAGTCCGACTGCCCGGCAAGGGGTCTCGGGTTCGATACCCGGGTCGGGCAAACTATTACTGGGTTTTTAAAAAAAAATCAGTAGTAGCACGAAGTCCAAAAATGTGCCCGGTATAAGGCAATAAGCTCATCCCCTATTACATGGGACTCATAACATAAATAGTGAACAGTGGGTGTAACATTGTACAGTGGCGTTAAGTGCCGAAATGTGCACCTCTGCCTACCTCTTCGGGGAGAAAAAGGTGTGATGTTTTGTTATGTTATGTTAAATATGATAGTCAGTTAGGGAGTTTAACTGTTGGATTAAGTCTAACTGATTATTGAAAAACCAAGAAGCTTGTTAACTGTTGGATAAGTGCTAACTAAACCATCAGTTAGCACTGAGTATTGAAAAATCGGCCCTTACCAGGCTCTTACAAAACCCTCGGGAAAAGTAAAGGATGATAAATGTTATGAGACGAATTAATAACAATACATAATAAAGAACATTAAAACATTTCGGCAATTATTCCCTAAAGGGCTATTTAAGCACGCTCCTAGTCCAAGAGCTAGTGTAAGATTGTACACGAAAATTGAGGATATAACACAAACATTAGCCACTTAGAAATAAAGAAAAACACTCAACAAATGGAATCTCTATTAAATAAAGGAGAAAGGAGTTCCAACTTACACGTAATGTTTTGTAAAGAGAAACATATGTAATTGTTATCAATAATAAAGTACCTCTGGACCCTTACTGTATTTCAGCAAAATTTGTCTCAAGATTTCGGAATTCTCGTAAGTATTTATTTATTTTAATACTTGCTGTACTCTAGCAGAAAAAATAGATCTGTTGAGGTTGCGGGTATGACTACCTATATACCGTGGTCTCAATATAGAATAGTAGTAGCAAGGTGTGGATTGAAAGATGATGAACTGACAAAGATTGAAAAGAGAATGATACGCTGGTTTGGACATGTAGAAAGGATGGATGAAAGTAGAGTAACGAAAGAAATATACAGAGCGGATATGAATAGGGCCGTTGGTAGAGGGCGCCCTAGACGGAAATATACAGACTAGATTGGCGATGTATAAAGATAAGCCAAATTAAAAGTGCCCTTAACCGATGCGATATGCATGCATTAAAAGACTGATGACTGTTGATGAAGCGAAAGCCTTCCCCCCTGGGAGACAGGCGGAAAGTTATGTAAAGTCAAAGGTCAAAAGTCCACTGCCACAGTGCCACCGTGAGTGATGTTCACATAGCAATGCGTAAGTAATTTCATATGAATGTGCATAAAAACGCGTGCGTACGCATAAACACACGCACGCGTATGCACACGGATAAAAATATGCGTGTACATGTGTGTATAAGCGCTGCAGTGCAACCGATAGTAGTCTTACGGTGGCAGTGGACTTTTGTATGTATATAGTAGAAATGCAAGCCTCGTTCTTTTAGTCATCAGGTATTAATCAGTCATTTCATTTTTAGTGAGTAACAGTCTGACACTCCACTAACAACTGAGTTTAAACTGTCAAACACCAAGCGGTCACCGGTGACCGCAACCTATTGTTCTATAATTGTGTCTACAAAACCGGTACTCGACGAGTTAATGATTTTATTTATTTTCTGTATTTGTTATTTAGGTTTATATACAAAAACAATAAAAACATTTAAATGTCCAAAATTAAAAAATAGTAGTTTAATTCAAGATTCAAGATTCATTTATTCATTGTAAAACATAGGTACATTATAAGTTCTTATGTAATATGTTGAGAGCGCTATGTTTTGCCTGTAGGGCGTACAATACATGCAATATACTTAATTAAAACAAGGATTTGACACAGATTTATAAACAACAGTAAACACATCACTACAATTACATAATCTTGACCATTTATCTCGTTAAGAATTTGCAATTTCATTGAACATTGACGATTCTTTAAATCAAATGAATAAAATAATGTAAACCACAAAATGTTAATTACATTATTCAACTGGTAAATATAGGACTATAGTCTTTAAAAATGTATCGTGGGTAAGATAAAGGCACCTCATCCACCGTCAGTAACAGCCGTAATATTATGTATGGGAACTCCAAAAACTTCATATATCCGACACTTACAAATGCAATCACTCACTTAGTAAGACAGTATAATAAATAATGAAAAAAAGAAAGAAAAAAATGAACATGCCTCCCCTTATAACTGTTCTGACTTGATGACGTATGAGTTATGACGTCACAGTTATTGCAACGATCCTCAATATAGGATAAGAACAAGCATACTTACAATTTTCCTCAAACCAAACAACAAAATGAAGGTTGACTGGGAGACAATGCCCAAGGCATTAATTCCACCTGTACACATTTGTTGTATGAAGTTGAAAATTAATAAAATATATCTTAGGTAATGGTCACAGGTATAATCCATAATAAAATTGTAAACTGCTCAATAATGGTAAGTATCTATTGAGGTATTAATGAATAATTTTGTGTAAAACTAGTGGCACCGACTTCTCACCTATCAGTGTATATATACATACCTGTATGAGTACGCATGACCAATAATAATTATTTTTTACTTTTTAGTTTTTACTTTTCGTTTGTTTTACTATCACCGTTTTTCAGGAGAGGTCTGTATACACCCTATATATTTGCACCAATACCACCACTACTATTCCCGCAGGTTAAATCCTCCTAAGAGATTACTTAGACGCTCTCTGATAGCCATGATCTTTTTAAGCTTCGATTTTATTTTCAACCCGCCAACTAAACATGGGTATTACGCCTAAACCGTTTCGCATTAAAAAGGCCCATAGTCAGTCGACTTTCGTAGGTAGTTGATGACTGTAATAAAATACAGATATTATAATCTCAAGTCACATTATTAATTGAAATTAGTTTCTCTTGCAACATACATAAAGGTCTAATTTGAGTTCCGGGCTCTTGGACTAGTTTGGGCAAGTAAATGAATTTGTTGGCTGATCAAGTTACGTGTGGAACTTTAACTGAATTTTAAACGTAATTAGGATAGTAATATGATTGGTTATTGTCTGTAACTTATAGGTTTAGTTTGGGAATTT